GTGCCTTAAATGATTTTTGGGTACTTCCATGTTAGCAGGGTTTTAATCAAACAAAATTTAATTTTATTGTTCTCTGAAATAGAATTTGATCAGTTTAAATGCATCTAAACATAAAAATAATGTTCAGCTCCATAAGACATTATAAAATACTCTTTAAATTTCGTTCATTTTAACAAAAACTTAAAATTCAGACAGAACTTATGGAATGACCTGATAGTATACTAATATATTGTCATTATCCGAATAATTAATGTTTCACTGTATATATTTTTATGCTCGGGAAAAATTAATGATTTTTCCATATATGTCATTTTCTTTTATATTTTCATCGTTTTAAATCATTTTATATCTGTTACGTACCATCTTTAAGAACTATATGCTAGACTCAAACTTTCAATATTTCTGTGGCCTTTGTTTTCTCTCAAGACTAAAATTGCATTTAAAATGGCGTGTTTAAGATTAAGGAAAATGTGGTTAAGCAAATAATGTCTATCCCGAAACAAAGTTTTACAAGGATGCAAGAATGGGTGTGTGAGTTGTGTGAAGTGAATAATTTGAAGCGAGCGGTTTAGAGTGCTGTTGTTTTGCGTAGGCCATTTTTTATATTAAATGACTTGGTACAATCCGGAGAGACATTGTATTTTCTTTATTTCTGCTAAAAGAGTAAACTGTTTTATTTCCTCTTTGTTTTTATTATGTTTATACTATTTAATAGTACCGTGTGTATTCTTTGTGTTTATTTTCTCTTCTTACTTTATCTAACTATTCAAATGGTAAATTAAAAATATTCATGCATGAGCTTCTTGTTCTTTTATCGTTCTCTCCACCAACTTTAGGTTTAAAATTAGAAATATCTCTTGTTAGATATTGTGGATTGTTTTTCTTCTTTAAACAACTTGTATATTCTTTCAAGAAGTACAAGGATGGCCCGTAAAGCAAGGTAAATCATTTACTAATCCAACAACTCTACGAATTAATATCCTGCATATCTTATTAACACTTGTCCATCGAGATAGATCCATTTGCCATATCAAATCACAGGCGGATAAATACACTACTTGAAGGACGAGGCTCCAAGCAACTGAATCCGTACACATCTACAACCAGGATTATCTATGTAAGTTGTTTCCCGAATAATTATCAACGAGGGACCCAAACAGACAATTTAGGACTATGCATTGAATGTTAAAAAAACTTCCAGCTATATCGCTGGAGCCACACCTTTGTCAGGGTGACCATGAGTCGAATGGCATTGTCGTACAGTAGGATAAAATTCTTTTACTTAAAGTCTTTGACTCTTCAGATAAACAGCTTCACTCTGGCCAGTGTTTCACAGTATCATGCAATATGACGTCCACAAGTAGCACGCCTTTTGCATCTCAGGAATCATTGTTTTCAATTGCTTCTCCGACTGCTGATATCTGAATTTGGGAAGACAGTATATGCTTCCAATTCATAGAATAAATCTTTGTTTGATTTCGTACGTTTTGATTTTCAATCCGTTTCATACAGATGTTGATATTGCTGCAAATGTGCAAGGGTAGTTCCAGCTGTTTGAAGCCACATTTCTCAAAGAGGTACATTTCTTTCCAGACAACATTTATATATAATTACGTGTATGTTAAAATATACTTGATTAGCATTTTTGTCTGTGACTTTTTTTAATTTTTATTCATTTCACCCTAAGAAAGGCAATAAAGCCTCTAAGATGTAAGTGGTTACTGAGTGTTAGAGAATATGAGAAAAAAAAGGAAAAGAGGAAAAGGAAAGAGATCAATTCAAGAACAGGAATTAAGAAGATAACGACTGACATTGAATTTAAATTTTTGAAAATCAAAGTTGACAGGAAAACAAGAAGCCAGAAGAGAGTTTCATAAATAAGTGCAAGAGAAGAAACTATTAGAATAAAACTTACGGTTACATCTAGCCATTTCAACTATAAAATGATAGGATCTAGCCGCCAATCTAGTACTGAGTTTAAATTCATAAAGTCCAGGTACTATAGAGGAAAGTGATATTTATTCCGTTTAATACAGAAATGTGGCACAAGGCCGAAAAGGGGATTGGGGAAAGGACGGTCTTCTTCTGTCTTAACTATAACTTAGCTAGCCGCAAACACTGACCCAATCGTACGAAACAATATTCCTTACACCAAAACAACACATTCATTCGTACCTTTCTTACTACAACCACCATAATACCTCTTTGTCTCTATGAAAATACTAACTAGTCCCCATACTATAGAGGAAAGTTCATCAGAACATTTACTATGAAAATATTTATAGAAAAAGGTACGGGAAAACTAGGTTACGGAGGTGGGAAAGTAACTGAAGCTGAGATTCCAGTTCAGTACCAGTAACATTGCAGATTATTATTTGGATTTTATCAAGAATGTCTGATTATATAGCAGGAGCACCAGACCAGATGTGTCAGCAACTTTCAAAGCAAGGACGAATGGTAAACTTATAAATATATAAGATAGATTCTATCGGGAAGAATTGTCTAGCTCGACATAGTGAACCAACTTTCTTAGCAGTAGACCTAACAGGCCGTTCCACTTCATATCAGCGAAAAACGTCAGTCCGAAAAGGCGCAATGCGCCACTTTCCTGGGGGTTGGCATCAGTTCTTTCCGACGACTGTGGTGTAATAAGCAAATACATAATGTATCTGTAACAGTGTATATGTGTCAGGCATAGGGCGCAGATAGGGTTTATAAGAGCTGCTGCTGCTTCTAAACCCACTTGTTGCTTACTCGCTCCATCCACATGTCTGCTGCTTCCAGTTTTCTCCTCACCCGTGGGGAAATTGTCCAACATTCATCTCTATCTATAAAAGGCAGGCTGTGTGTGTGTGTGTGTGTGTGTGTGTGTGTGTGTGTGTGTGTGTGTGTGTGTGTGTGTGTGTGTGTGTGTGTGTGTGTGTGTGTGTGTGTGTGTGTTTACATGCTCCAAGTTAGTGGGAAGGCCAAGATCGACGTTGCATTTCCCAACTCCCATCGATAGTGGAAATAATCGATTTTTTTTTCATGCTTCTACGCCAGTTTTCATGTAGTTTGCGGCTATTTTGTATTGGCCAGCGTGAGAGCCAACAGCTGACTTACACGAATGTTAACTAGCATGCAACAAAAATCGATAGCTGCATTCGTCACAAGTGAGAAAAATTTAAATCTGCATGGCACTTTACTCCAATTGGCTCAATCGCTTGCTTAAACTCAACGTTGATTCTGATTCTGCAGAACTGGGTTGGGTGTGAAAAAGTATTTGTTGTTAACATTTTTTTTCATTCGGTTTTTCCAGTTACGAGTCCTTTTTTAAAGCTGATCGTTTTGTGTTCATTTTGTTTAGTTCTTTTTTCGTAACAGATTTTATGTTTAGTATAGAGCTTAGAAAAAATTCGCAGTGTGAGATAGGCAAGAAGTAAGGCATGTAGCAACATCAGCACGGCAAAGGGCACTCCTTTAAAGGCAAGGAAGGGCAAAAATATTTTAAGTCAAGTGATAGCGATTGCTGTATGAGTCGTACGATTTTTGAATCAAGCACGGGCAACACCGGGCCATGCTGCTAGTTAAAATATAAGGGGTTGGATATCTAGCACACTTTTTTTTGTTTCTAATGAAATTCTTCCGTTTCTCAGCATCTTGCTTAGCTTTAGAAATGCTCCTTTCGCTGGCCCAAAACGTGTTCGAATCCAGCTGTCACATTTTCCATCCTCTGTTAAAATTCATCCTAGATATTTGAACTTTTTTACCTGTTTGATGTTTATACCTGCAATTTGTAATTCGCATATTGGGCTTTTTCTCTTGCTGATACTTACTGTCTTCTTGAAGTTGATTGTTTGAAAAATGTAAGCGTCCCTAAATAATGCAGAAACGGTACTGCTGAAAAATCTGAGCTAAAGAACATTGCCACTGAACCATGAAAATTTAACACTACCACCTGTTCAGGTAAGTCATGTTTCCAGCACTTAGATGAAGACAGTGGATACAAATTGTCAGCAGAGAGCTAAGGAAGTTAATGGGAGTTCTGTATTTGGGTAGCTTAAGTACCGCTAGTCAAACTCTCCTACATTATGAGAGTTATTTTGTGCTTTCTTGTACAGCCTTCAGCATAGGATCAAAATGTAACATCTGTTCTTATTTCTTTCGTGTTTCTGCTTTAGTTACAGTTCATGTTTTTGGTAATGAGGAAAGCATAACCCTGACAATTTTAAAAGCCTGCAATAGTACCTCCCTCATGGCAGTTTCTGTCTGTAGCTCAGAGGTACACATGAAAGTACCCTATGTTAAACCAACTCCGTGGTGGGTGTAAGGTTGTAACGTGGTCGAAGGTTGAGTTGTTATTGTAAGTCACCCCGTGTTACATGTATTAGTAGTTGATAAATTATTCTTTTTCTATTTTTTTTTTATATTGCTTATAATTGTCCCGAAAATTTCATGGTTAAATGAAGCTTTGGAATCCGTCAACTCTGGAGCGAAGAAGATATGTCTGTATTGTTCTTTTTACTACTGCTATCTTTGCTTTTGATGGAATGGCCGCTTTTATAATGACAAAGTTTCAAATGTTTATTTCTAGAATGATGAAATATCAAGATCATCATGAATCATTGATTGAAACGTTGTTTATAGAATGATGAAATTTCAGATCTTTCTTTCTAGAATGATGAAATATTATCATCATCATGAATCATAACAAAGTAATTAAAAGTAATGTTAGGTATGTTTCAGACCATTTGCGCCCTTTTATACTCGCAATATTTCTCGATACAGATTATTTGATATAACAAAATAACATGTTCAAACCCACTATCTTGCAATGAGTAACATGAAAATGATTCCTGGAACACTCGACTGACTTCAGTGTTCTTATTTAAATCCCACTGCATGGGACATATATACTGACCCCCACCAACTACCCTGAAGACATTTCCAATGCTCCTTAAATGTATCCGGATCTATATACCCATAAAATGAACACATCGTAAACTCTATGCCACGTAGGCTTACGGCAATATCACATTGATACACCAGTTCTCGTGCGATCACCAGAGTTAAGCAACGTCGAGCTTGGTCAGTACCTAGATGGGTAACCACTTGGGAAAACCAGGTGCTATAAGCTTCGATGCGCGTGTGGTGTAATGGATAACGACTCGAAATTGATAATCGGAGAACCGAGTTCCAATTCCAGTCAGGTTCGTTATATTCCATAAAGCACAAATATCTTGGGATAGATATTAATCCACATTTTCTCCTCCAGCTATGGGTCAATTAATAGGACTTGCATCAGTAAATAATTATTATCATCCCAAAATTCTTACAATTTAAAAAAATATTTTTCTGGCTTTAAATAACTTGCAAAGAAAACAAATCAATCTATCTATATATATACCCTGTCATGTAGCCTCCGTTATTCAGGCAAAGAGAGGAACAACATATTAAATAGCTTTTTTTGACAATTCAGTAGTTAAAAGGAAAATTAAAGGAAACAGAACTCAGGGGCATTAATCGTGTTAAATTTATTGTGAGTTATTTCCCTTGATTCAGCACGGCTATTCGATTCGAAATTTTTTATTGGAAATAATTTAGGTAATTGTAAAAATTTTAACTCCTGAAAAAAATTGAAAATTAATAAAATTGAAAAATATCAAGATTTTTCGGGAAATAAAAAATGTGAATAATGAAAGTACTTCATAAAAAAAATAAATTATTTTTACATTTTTTTCACATTTTTTTTAATACTAATTTTTTTTTTTATCTTTTTCTCACTTTTCCTTTATTATCAGTTGGTTAATTTTGTTTAACAGCATAACAACACCTCTATGAGTTATTTAAAGCCGAAATCTACATGTTTTGAAAATAATTTTATGGCTTCAACTAAATATATTTTGAGCTCTATTCTATGACTTTAACTACAGATAAAAATGTATTGTTGGTCATTTTACTTTAAATATGTTGTTGGTAATTTTACTATAAATAGTTATTGTTGGTCATTTTACTATAAATTAGTATTGTTGGTAATCTTACTATAAATAGGTAATGTTCATTGGCTGATTTTTTTTAGTGGCATAGCAACATCTATGGGTTATTTAACACTAGAAAACTAACCATGTGTATATAGTACCCAGCACAAATTTTCCTATTTTTAATTACAATTTTCAGAACCTGATTTTCTTAACTAAATAATGTTTTTCACTTCCTATTAATGTTAACTCAAAGTATAAAGTTTGAAGTGTCTGCATGTAAAATATTTCAAATAAAGATTTATATTTCATTTTTTTTTTTTTTTGATATTTTCAAAATCAGGTATGATATACCCATGGTTAGTAGTGGTGTAACTTTAATTGATGGTTAGTGTTCTTGGGTTAATGCCGAAATCTAAATATTTTATGATACATGTAGATGGTATATTCTTATCAGACTGGGTGTCATGATGGGTATATTGGGATTTGAATATTTGCACCCCAGCATCACTTTGTTGGCATGAGGTTCTCTCACTCAATAATAATAATAATAATAATAATAATAATAATAATAATTCTATGATGAATGTAGATGCTATACGCTGATCAGACTGGGTATCATGATGGGTATATTGGGCTTTGAATATTTACACCCCGGCATCACTTTATTGGCATGAGGCTCTCTCACTCAATAATAATAATAATAATAATAATAATAATAATTCTATGATGCAAGTAGATACTATACTCTGATCAGACTGGGTATCATGATGGGTATATTGGGCTTTGAAAAATTTACACCCCAGCATCACTTTGTTGGCATGAGGCTCTCTCACTCAATAATAATAATAATAAGAAGAAGAAGAAGAAGAAAAAGTAACTTTCAAGAAAGGTAGAATTACAGAAACACCCTTAATAGATTTAGATTTTGTCACAAAGATTAGGGAACTGGAGCATGTTGAAGATCATAAGTACCTAGGAATTAGCGAAGGAGATGGCATACAACACCCCCAAATGAAGGAAAAATAAGAAAAGAGTACTACAGGTGTGTACGTCTGGTACTAAATACTGAGCTAAACTCAAAAAACAGGATATCAGCCATAAACACATTGGCTGTCCCTGTGGTGCAATACAGCTTTAATGTCCTTAACTGGACCACAGCTGAAATTAAGCGAATGGATGCCAAAATGAGAAAGCTTCTCACTTGCTACTGCATGCATCATCCCAAAGCTGATGTCGATCGTCTGTATGTGCCCAGATCCAAAGGGGGCAGAGGATTAGTTCAACTAGAACTGTCCTACAAAACTACAACAACTGGCCTCCAAAGATATTTGGAAACTACAGAAGACTGGATGATGGTATGCGTCAAGGAACATGAAAGTAGTAAGCTTCTTTACTCCGTAGTGAAAGAAGCCAACAAATTCAAAATGGAGCTTCAAATGGGTGTAGAGATGCAACTACAGCACAATACACCAGCTGAAACTGCAAAATACCTAAAAAAGACAGCAAAGACAAATGCAAGCGACCAGCTACAGAAGCGATGGCAAAATAAACCGCTTCATGGCCAATACTCTACCCGTACCAAACAAGCTGACATAGACAAAACCCGTACCCATCAGTGGCTCCGTAGTGCAGGGTTGAAAGTGGAAACTGAAGGTTTTATCCTTGCTGTGCAGGACCAATGCTTGCTAACTAGGAATTGTCAAGCACATATACTAAAATATTGTGTCAGCCCAAAATGCTGATTCTGTGATAAATATCCAGAAACGATTGATCATCTTGTATCAGGTTATACGGTGTTGGCACCCACTGAATATAAAACCCAACATGACAGAGTGGGCCAATATCTGCACTGGAAAATCTGCAACTTCTACGGGAAGGAAACTGAAAGAAACTGGTATGAGCACCACCCAGACCCGGTTACGGAGATAGGACCTGTTACAATTCTATGGGACCACACAATACACACTGACAGAACAATCAAGGCCAACCACCCAGATATTGTTATTAAAGACCACAAACAAAAACGATGCCTCCTTATTGATATGGCAGTCCCTGCTGACTGCAATGTATCTTTGAAGATATTCAAAAAGTTGTCAAAGTACAAGGACCTTGAAATAGAAATCTCGAAAATGTGGCATATGGGAACATCAACAATCCCTGTTGTAGTTGGAGCCCTAGGACTGGTTGGAAAAGATTGCAGTAGACTAATTGAAGGGATTCCTAGAAGTCCATGCCTCAAGGAGATACAAAAAATTGTTCTGACAAGTACAGCCCACACCTTACGAAGGGCTTTATCTATGTAATTTAATTCTTTTTTTTTTTTTTTTTTGTCAGTGGAAAGTGTCATGACGCCATTTCTAACCTTAGGTCCCTGGGCGGGACCCAGAAAGAAATGTGTAAACGCCAGAAATCACAGAAAATAAAAATAATAATAATAATAATAATTCTATAATACATATGGATGGTATATTCTGATCAGAATGGGTATCATGATGGGTATATTGGGCTTTGAATATTTGCACCCCAGCATCACTTTGTTCACATGAGGCTCTCTCAATCAATAATAATAATAATAATAATGGAAAATTGCAGGAGACGACGCAGGAATCTAAGTGCAGCGTGGATTGATTATCGTAAAGCCTTTGATAGTGTTCCACATTCTTGGATCCTTAAGACTTTGGAAATGTACAAAGTCTCCCCTGTGGTATTAAATTTCCTTAAGCACAGCATGGGAATGTGGAACACCAAACTATACCTTAGTCACACTGGGGGCACTGCCGTATCCAACCATCTGAATATCCGACGTGGAATCTTTCAAGGAGACTCTCTGTCACCCCTTCTGTTTTGTTTATCCTTAATCCCTCTTACACATGAACTGAACAGTGGCTATGGTTACAAAATAAATAAGAAAATATTCAATCACCTACTCTACATGGATGATCTCAAACTCTTTGCCAAAGACGACAATGAGTTGAAAGGCCTCCTCAATATTGTAAAATACTTCAGTGACGACATAGGTTTGGACTTTGGATTAGATAAATGTGCAAAAGTAACTTTCAAGAAAGGTAGAATTACAGAAACACCCTTAATAGATTTGGATTTTGTCACAAAGATTAGGGAACTGGAGCATGATGAAGCTTATAAGTACCTAGGAATTAGCGAAGAAGATTGCATACAATACCCCTAAATGAAGGAAAAAATAAGAAAAGAGTACTACAGGGACCTTGAAATAGAAATCTCGAAAATGTGGCATATGGGAACATCAACAATCCCTGTTGTAGTTGGAGCCCTAGGACTGGTTGGAAAAGATTGCAGTAGACTAATTGAAGGGATTCCTGGAAGTACATGCCTCAAGGAGATACAAAAAAAAACTTCTGACAAGTACAGCCCACACCTTACAAAGGGCTTTATCTATGTAATTTAATTTTTTTTTTTTTTTTTTTTTCAGTGGAAAGTGTCATGGCGCCATTTCTAACCTTAGGTCCCTGGCGGGACCCGGAAAGAAATGTGTAAATGCCAGAAATCAAAGAAAACAAAAATAATAATAATAATAATTCTATGATGCATGTACGTTATCTGAGTTGTACTCAACAGATCACAGCTAGTCTCTGTAGTCTGTTGACTTACAGATACTTATAGGTAGTTACTACCTATAGTTTAGTCACACATGGGGGTGACATGTTATTCTATTACATGAAAAAACAAACTAAATGAAATCAGCTGGACTATATACCAGAACACATATTCAAAAAAATAATTAAATTTAAGAGTTTAAATTTCTCAGCATCCCATCTCCTTCATTCCCATGTGTAAACTCATCAATCACACTAAACATCACTGAAGTTCCAAATGACGAAACACATCACACAAAAATGTTTCCACTTTGTCATAGATTTTCCTAAAATTGTTCTGACATATAAAAATGATGAGGTCTCATCAATTTACAGTTTGAGTTGGGAGGTGTAACCATAAATTTTATGGTAGCAGTTTCTTTTCTCACACATCTCGCTTATGGAACTCTTGTCCAACTATATGCTTTCCAGCTAACTTTAATCTGCAAAAATTTAAATGCAATGTCAATTACTATCTGCTGTCCTCCTGATTACTCTTCCTCTATTCTTGCTCCTTAGCAATGTTCTTGTTTCTAACTCT